TACTCGGGCGTCCTCCATGTCGGTCCCAGCGGGCTCCCTGCCCCTTACCCGGGCGTCCTCCATGTCGGTCCCAGTGGGCTCCCTGCCTCTTAACCCGGGCGTCCTCCACATGGGCCCCAGGCTGGCGGCTTCCCCTGCTTTTACCCAGGCGGGCTCCCCTGCCTCTTACCTGGGTGTCCCAGGCGGACTGGCTCCCTGCATCTTCCCTGAACATTCTCTACCAAGTCCCCAGGTGGACGTGCTCCCTGCCTTTTACCCAGGAATCCTCGGCCTGGGTCTGGGGCAGACATCCTGCCATGGTCTGTGTCTCCTCGGGTGCAGGTGAGCCCCTGAAACTTGACTCTCTCGTGACCTCTGTCCACAGGCACCTGGAGGAGCCCCAGCAGACACTGGAGGCCATGCTGCGCCCTAAAGTCACCACACTGCCCGGCCACATCCAGGCGGTCTACGTGCAGAATGTGGTCAAGCTGTACGCGTCCATCCTGCAGCAGCGGGAGCGGGCCGAGGAGCGGGAAGCTGCCCAGGCTGCCACGCAGCTCCTGGTGGACCGGCTGCCGCAGTTCGTGCAGAGCGCAGACCTGGAAGTCCAGGAGCGGGTGAGCCTGCCGGGGCGAGGGCCGTGGTACAGGACAGCCGGGGGCTTGGGGTGACAGACCTGGGGCGAGGGCCGTGGTACGGGGGCCAGGTGTGGATTCTGTGGGTGAGGTGGTAAGAAGTGACGGCAGGTGGAGGATGCAGAGTGAGCAGTGGGCCTGAGGTGAGCTGTGGTACGAGGACAGGTGATGTTCCATGCACTTTGGGGTGAAGCCACAGAAACGAGGATAAGTCCATGGTATGAAGAAACAGCTAGCGATTTAGGGTGACAGGCTTGGGGTGAAGGGTGTAGATGGGAGACAGTTGGGGATTCGGAGGTAATGGGGGGCCTGGGGTGAGGGCTGTGGCTTGATGGGGTGACCCATGGTCCTTAGGTGGCTGTAGCAGTCCAGTGGAGGGCAGCAGGTGCTTTGACTTGACACCACGTTCCAGGGCTGGGCCGTGCCCCCAGGGGGAGCCTCCATGGCTCACAGCAGCCCCTGCCCCCTACAGGCGTCCTGCATCTTGCAACTGGTCAAGTACATCCAGAAGCTTCAGGCCAAGGATGTGCCGGTGGCGGAGGAAGTGAGCGCCCTCTTTGCTGGGGAGCTGAACCCGGTGGCTCCCAAGGCCCAGAAGAAGGTCCCCATCCCCGAGGGGTGAGCCTGTGTGGCCGCAGACACCTGGGACTGTGGAGGAAGAGAGCTGTGTGCGGTCTGATGCCAGAGGCAGGGACCCCAGTTCCAAGCCTAGCTGGACTGTGCACCTTGATTCTCAGAGCTGTTGGGGTGCACGGACCTCCTCGAGTGCTTAGAGAGGTCCTCTTGGGATTTGTCATTTTTTGGGGGCCCTGGCCTGGCCCGAGTCTGGCTCTGGCCTGGGAAGCAGGTCTTGTCGACCTTCAGTGTGTGGGGGGGTCTGCCCTTAACTGAGGGCTGCGGTGGTGCTGTGTGCTGGGAGCTGATAGCTGGCCGAGCCCGCGTGACACTGACCATGTCCTGCAGCCTGGACCTCGATGCCTGGATCAACGAGCCGCCCTCCGACAGCGAGTCCGAGGATGAAGCCCCCAAGGCCATCTTCCACGATGACGAGCCGAAGCCCACACGGCACCGGCAGCCTGAGGTGGACGAGGAGGAGCTGGCCCGGGTGAGCGCCAGCACGCCAGGCCCAGGCTGGGGTCGGAGCTCCTGAGCCGGCCACCCAGGGGGTGCTCTGTCCTGGGGAGGCCTCCATCCCAAGGGGCTTCTGTTCTCAAGGAGCTCGAGTTTTGAGGATCTCCATCTCAGATCGGAGACATTTAGGAGCCGGCTGGGCGGGCTGTTCGTGGGTGGCCCTGACACTGGGTACAGTCTCCCAGGATTTTACAGAATATTCATTTTTTAAATGTTTCCCACCACAAAGGTGAAAAAAGGGGCCCTTAAGTGCCTCGGCCCAGAGCAGAGCAATTTTTTGTCCCTTCTGTTAGGGCTCCTTCTTGCTGATGGGGTTCTACATCTCTCCCCACTCTTCTGTCTCCTGGAAGGGACAGCAGAGCAGCCCCCAAGTGAACAACTCCTCCGCCTAATTCCACACCCTCCCTGTCAGCCTCCCTCACCACCCTAGGTGTGACGTACTTGTGGGGGTGGACTCCCAGGGCAGTCAGTGCTGTCAGCCTCACCCACAGCCCTGGACGGGTGG